ATATTTTATAGCGGACGGTTTTGTCCGCAGTCTCTAATAAAAAAGAACTGATTAGAGTATCGATAAAGAGCCGAACCAATGAGGAGTATCGATAAGAGTAGTATCGACAGCATTAATCAAAGTAAAAATACAATTTGTGGCTGATATCACTACAGTATAACATATGTAATATGCAGGATTAATACACATCTGATGACACAGGACCACAGATATATTGTTATCTGAGATGCACACCGTTGTATCTGGAAAGCAGTAACGACAGGAAGCAGGCCGCTCCGCTTAGGAAAAAAGCGAGCATGCTGATTGGCCGCCGTCCCAGGCGAACCAATGGGACGAGGAAGCAGGGAGCCTCCGATAGGCCGGAGAAGAACTGGGCGGAGTAGACGTCGACACCAAAAGAGCCGATGTTCAGGCAGATGCCGAAGTACGTCATCGCTGACACTGCACTGCAGGACAAACACAGGTTGTACGTCACTTATTAAGTCCCGCCCCTTTTAATCAGATTATTTCACGGGTTTCGTAGTTTCCGAAAAATGAAGTAACATTTAACTGTAAACATACAACTGTACGATAGAGTTAAAGTGGAAATTTGAAACATACAATTTCACAAATATGGAAAATGATGCCTTTGCTTTCCAGCCACCTGAACCTGGTCTGTTCCTGACCTTCACGTTGCCTGAGTTCACCAAAGATGTTGATGAAAGCTTCAAAGACAGCAAGTACGAGTTTCTTTTTGTCAATTGTAAAAAGTCAAACATATTATAATTTTATTCTTGAAATATTATAAGCTATTTGTCGTAAAATGAAAATTGTATTCTTACAGGGTTCATTCTTTCAACCTGACAATAGAAATTTTAGCAAATTTATCTTTAGAATTTTAAAAATATTATTTATTTGACAAAATATTGTAAATGTATTCTCCAAATGTTCCAACTTTATCCTCAAAGTATTGAAACTTGAATCTCCAAATATTACAACTTTGTTCTAGAAATATTCTGACTTAATTAAAAAAATATGATTATTTAATTATCAAAATATTACAACTTTATGTCATATTATAATTTCTTAACATATTATTATCTAATTTACAAAATAATCTAAATGTATTCTCAAAATACAGTATAACGTTATCCTCAAGACATTGCAACTTAATCAACTTTTATATTAACTTACGTACTTATCATTTTCTTCAACTTTTATGATATATGTATATACGTATATATATATATATATATATACGTATATATATATGTATATACGTATATATATATATATATATATATATATATACGTATATATACGTATATACATATATGTACCTGAGGTAGCTCATGACGAAGAGCCTCAGAAGCACAGTCGGATGTCTCAGGTGGATGATGTCACTGGGGGAGTGGCCTCCAGATGGCTCCTCCTTCTGAGCCTCGGTGGATTTCTGCAGGTCGGACTCCAACAGCTACACACAGAAAACACAACTCATTGACGAAACACTGACAGACTGAAACTGTGTGTGTGTGTGTGTGTGTGTGTGTGTGTGTGTGTGTGTGTGTGT